CCCGTACTTTTAGGCCTATCCGTCTACCCATATGTAGGTCTAATTATGCTGATCATGAACCTTTTAGGGTTTTATGCCATAATTATAACTCCCTCTGTCAAACCCTATCCCCTGAACTGTCTCTTAAACTAATTGCATGAAATATTTATAATCATTTAAATTTAGCTAACTTTTAACTTATCTTTTTCCGCCTTTAGTAACTAAGTATCATTATTAACAGATAATTGTTAATTTAATAAATAAATACTCCATCTCAGTCTGCGCTGTCTGAGTCTACGCCGTCTGAGCATACCACTGAGCCCTCTACTTCAGCGTCGTCCTCGTCTGCCCTTATTGCCCAAGATCTCAGGAATGGTGTTGTTCTACTTGCCACGGCCACGGTCTTAGTCAAAAATCGTTCCGGAGTTTTAGTTCCCTGCCGAGCGTTGCTGGATTCCGGCTCCCAGTTGCATCTAATAACTTCTCGTTTCGCGAATCAGCTTCAGCTTCGAAAAATGAAATCATCGACTGCAGTCTCGGGAATAGGCGACTCTAGCTTCGTCAGGGATGGATTTTTGGTCAACGTTAGCCTGCACTCTCGCTCATCGGATTACTCAACTCTCATCACTGCCATTGTAGCCTCTAGCATTCCATCTAACATACCACTAGCTGATCCGGAGTTTTATAAGCCGCAGCGCGTCGATCTGCTAATTGGCGCAAGTCTGGTTTTCGAGCTCCTGTGTGTTGGTCAGGTCAAGCTACTGCCAGGATTGCCTTCAATTCAGAAGACGCGCTTGGGATGGGTCGTGTCTGGAAGTTGTTCACGTTTAAAAGGTTCCTCGTTGATGGTCTCTCGCGCTCGGGCCGTAGCTGCTGAGGATAATAGTACAGAAGATCGGCTTGAGGTGCTTCTTCGGAGGTTTTGGGAGGTAGAAAATTGCATCGAACCAATAATAAAGTCTACCAAAGAAGAGCTAGATTGTGAAGCACACTTTGTGCAGCATTTCCGTCGACTACATAAAGGCGATTATTGTGTTCGGCTGCCAGCAAAATATAATTTGGATCTCCTTGGAGAATCTTACAATCAAGCGCTTCGTAGATTCCTGACCCTTGAGAGAAAGTTAGATCGTCGCCCTGATGTTAAATCTCAGTATGCAGCATTTATAAAGGAGTACCTTGATTTAGGCCATATGTCTCAGGTTCCTACCCAGTCAATTAGCAACTGCCGATATTTTTTGCCTCACCATTGCGTCATGAAGGAAGATAGTTCTACGACCAAGCTTCGCGTCGTTTTTGATGGATCCGCTTCAACCTCATCTGGATATTCCCTGAACGACGTTTTAATGGCTGGTCCCGTAATCCAACCCAAACTGTTTCATATTCTTGCTCGATTTCTGTCATACGCCGTTGCGATAACGGGAGATATATGTAAGATGTATCGTTGTGTAAGAGTCTCGACCGAGGATAGCAACTTGCAGTGTATTCTGTGGAGAAACTCCAGGGAAGAAGACTTGCGTGTGTTTCAATTGGACACCGTTACTTATGGAACGAAGCCTGCTTCCTATATATCTGTGGGAGCGATGCATCAGTTGGCAATGGACGAGCAGATGGCGTTTCCAGGGCTACTAGGGTGTACTCGTTACAGTTAAGGGACGCTCTATGATCGATGTGATACTGTGTAGGGCCATTTCGGTGGATCTTCCCTTCCGATAGGAATGCTAGGAGTCTGAGATTAGACTAGGCGGAATATTCACCGTCAGATGCATCCCCAAAAGCCGTTCCATCTTCTTCTGAAGGAAAGACGGGTCTGAAATTTTTGGGGGCAGTGTGCGAGGTCTTGCCTGCCTTGGGAATGATGACGACTTTGTTATGAAGCCAGGTTTCCGAAATATATCCATGGGAGAAGATTTCTTCGTATACCTTTTTTTAGCCATTAGTGGCTTTTTGTCCAGCGTGAATCAGTTAGGCAGGGATGATGCCATTTGGTCCCGCAGACTTGTATGGTTTGAAGCTTTTGATTGCCCAGGAAATGTTCTCCTGGCTTAGCAGGTTCATGATATCACTTGAGGCAACGGAAGGAGCCGCGATGTAGTGTGGTCTGTTTTCATCGCAGCCGTAAAGTGGGTGTTAAGGAGAAGATTGATCGACTCATTTCTGGACGTTGTCCACGATTGGTCGGCATTCTTCAGGAAGCCCAGAGTGGGTGTAGTCTTTGAAAGAAATTTGCGCAAGCGCGAGGCTTCTGAGTTATTCTCAATGTCGCTACAGAACTTACGCCATGAGGCGCGTTTGGCTTTTCTCAGTTCTTTATTATAAGTTGACAGACTGCCCTTATATTCGTAAAGAACGACATGCGGGTTTTTATGAGACAGACTCATACTGAATTCGCTGCGCTCAACTCCGGATACAAAATGCTACAGGATAAGTTTCTTGTGTTGGAGTCTCATTTCAAAAATCTAAAAATTTTGACTGAGTCGCCAAAGCGAAAGAAGGTTACCAATTATTTGCCAATCTCTAATCCGGTCGTTTCTCTTCCAGTCCCGGGATCACCTGCACCGCAATCTCGATCACCGTCACTTATAAATTCTGACGCCATGGACCTTTGTTATAATGGTTACATTGCGCCGACTACGACGGTGGCCTCATCTGCAGTCTCTCCTGCAGTCGCACCTGCCGCCACTCCCGCGCCCGTGTCTGACCAGGACGTCGGTCCGAATGTCATCGAGGAAGCCATCGCAATCGCTTCCGTGGTCCAACTTAAAGCCGCTAACGCTGCCGTCCGGAGGGATGTTGAGGCTCCCCAACTAACACCTCTACGTCCACTGCTCCCGTCTCAAAAAATAATTCTGTGACCCCCCTATCTGTTCTTACTGCGGTTGCTCCTTCAAAACCTATTTTCGTCTCTCGACTCATGGCATCGGCTACGGAGGTCATGGTCCGAAACTTTATATTGTCTAAACTCAACATAGATAGTTCTGCGGGTCTCGTAGTTACCAGTGGTGCCAGTGGTGCGGAAATGCATTTTGTTGTTGTCATTTCCAATGCCCCCACTGTAAAGTTCATTTGCTACCGCATATGCACATGCAGCGGAATTCTTTCGTCTCTTAATATCGCAATCTCTCGTACTCGGCTTAACAGCGGCCCGAGCAGCTCTAACGCTCTCGGGCTATCCTACTCTCTCGCTCGCGTCTAAGCTTGCTGCATAGGGCCCGGCAATTTGGCCCGTCAGCCGTTGCATTGTCAGTCTTGAGCTAATCGTCGCAGCTATTAGATTAACATCCTCGCATCAATCGTTCGCCCAATCATCCTCATATTTACATACGCGATAAGTTGTACATATGCAGTACAGCATATGCAGTACGCAGCATATAAGTACATATGCAAATAAATTGTGAATTATATATAACCTCTCGACTTTCATTAACTTCAAAAATTGCAACAGTTATTAAAAACGCTTAATAGCTTAACAATCTCCATGCTAGGGATCTCCGGGGGCTCCAGTTCTGGCTCGACCTTCGGTTGCATGCCCTTAGAGTCGGACTTGTACGAGGTAGTCTTCTTGTAGCCGTAGTCCAGTGCCCTCCGTGACGTGCAGAAGTCTAGCCGACTCCTCGTTCACGACGAGGATGATTTGGCGCCTCTGTCCGTTGCTCTCCTCTACCTTGGCCACCTTCTAATCGTCTGTGGGAAGGTGGGGGTTGCAGACCTGCAGAATCCGGAGAATCTTATCCGGTTCTGCAGGCTTCGCCGAGACCCACGCTCTGACCCTCGGCTTGCTGGGGATGTCCTTCCACTTCACGGCCTCCAGCTTGGCTCCTGGGTAGACCTCCTTGAGCGATGCTACCGGCTGTGTAAGACTGCAATTAGGGTTTTTCCTCTCGCCACCTCGGCAAACGAGCTCAGTGTTTTCGTCCTCTTGGCCGGTTGGAATTGCGTGGTGGTGTCCTCCGCCTCCCTCCGTTGCCGCTTGCTTGGGGCCTTGGCTGCGGCCTTGCCAGCTTTGGATGGCTGGTAGTCGGGCAGGACCGTCTTGGCCCATCGCCGCGATTCGATTCCCTGGGCCCTCCGACGTGGATTGGCCCGATTGCATTTTCGGTCCTCTCCTCGCAGCGCCTGCTGCCTCGAGACGGTGGACCGACTTAGTCTCCTTAGACTTAGACGTCGTTTTGGGCACTGGTTTCCCAGATGCGTTATTATAGGGATGGTCAGTTCCCTCCAGCAATTTAGGAGGAGTGCCGAGCTCCTTTGCGGTGTTTTTTGTATGTATAGTAAAGTTTGGCATAGTTGGTCCCACGAGTAGGCGTTAGTCGCCCGGGGCATAGCCCGCGTGCCCCGGGAAGCCTTATTAAAACTGGAGGTCGGAAGGTATCCAGAGTCCGCATATAAACGACCGAGCACCCCCTCTGCCATTCATCTCTCGGCATATGACAGTGTCACCTTGGATTGGAGTTATTTCACTGAGAGTTATCTTCTCATCGCCCGACTATAGTTAGCCAGCATCCTGGCAGACACATGACCGTACCAGGACCTGTTCCAGCCGCCCTCGCGGAGAGAGTATAGTCGCACTTCCGCCGGCGTGTACAGTTACGGTGGGTGCCGGTTGGCTCGTGCCAATTAGTGCTAATTTTTCTCGAATATTAATCTAACAGATATCCTTCCTGCATGCTCGCGTAACAGCCTTCTGCTGGTTTCAGACGGGAAACTTGACGGTGCAGTAATTACATTGCCTCCTGCAAGATGCAAGAGTAATCTTATAGTAGATAATTATTTTTACTGAACTGAAAATATGTTTCGTAGAAATAATATACACTGCAGATAGTTGCACATAGTCACAGAGTATATATGTATTCAACGAAACCCAATTGCCTTTCCTTTCTGTGACGACTGAAAGGAGTTAAACTGGAACATACACCTCGTCGTTGGATAATTGATTCTCGATCCGGCCCCCTACACTCAATCACTTTTCAGTTTAAACGACTGAGGAAGAAAGTGATAAATCAGCTATTTTCTTTAGATTTTCTTTAAATATTGATTCTTTTCTTGCGATATCCATTGCAATCCAACCTAGCTTGCTTCTGCGTAAACGATTGTGCATCAGGATCATCAGATGAGTCCCTGCAGTGCCAATAAAGTGGTTTACAGATCCCAATTACACCAAAAAATAAACTCACTGAACTACAGAGAAATCACTTAAATCGCCATAATCTATTGGGCGATGACACAGGCAGCATTTGTTGTTGGATTCGCTGAAACACCTCGGGCAGAAGACACCTTTGCGTCCTAGTGAGTCGCAATTTATGCGGGTGGAACTGGAGGACAGAATGAAAGTCTGAACAATAGCAGAACAAAATATTGACGAATTACCTACGAGCTTAAGGACTTGGCGCAAATGATGCAGATATCACTACTCATGGCACCAACCAGACAGGCACAACAGCAGCATCTAATGGCGAAAGTTTCAATTAAATATGTGGAAATGTCTGCTCCGCGAATCTCACCGATTCAGATTGCCCCTGAACGAGCTGATGTGCCCTTTTCGATCCTGGTACATTAAGGCAGCGCGGATCTGGCGACGGGCCAACTTGAATACGCTTATTTGCTCAGTCAAGATCTTGTTGTGCAGATACATGGCCCTCTCATGGTCTCGCTCCGGGTAGAAGCAACGCATAATCACATGACGTAGGCGCAGGAAATACGGCTCCGTCAGCAGGACCAGCCAGGCGAATAGACAGAGTCCCAATATCTCAGCATATCTGTAATGGTTCGGTTCTACAGGCTGAGGCAAACATTCACTCGTTTCCAAGACGGTTTTCTGAGTGAGGGGCCGAAACCCCTTGGATATCCCTCGCATTATTTCAACCAAAAACCCTCCACCTTTGATCTTCAGATCTGTATAGGCAGGCACTTCTAGTCCGGACTTCTGATGGCCATAGTACGACATGGTGGCCAGCATCCAGAAGAGGCTATAATCCAAAAAGCAAATGGAAAACAATTGCAGGGAGGTAAAAATCATGAAAAAGGAACTCTGGCGGGTCAAGCAGCTTAAAGAGATCTATCGATATCTATCGTTGCTGATGGTCGCGTCTTTACTTCGCTCCGCCTAATAGTTATTTTTTTCCGTGATTTAAGGAGACGTGATTTATAAAACGTTTATTGTGTTTGTAATTAATCGAGCATTCTGTTTGCTACATGTGCATAACCAGTACTCCTGTTTTCGTGTAGTTATTCCCAAATTTTTAATCCAATTTGTGTTTTCTTTCCTACCCCGTCATTCTTAGTCACCGGCAGCTGCATTGTTGTTGACATATGTATTGTCGATGCACTCTATCTGAGCCGCTCTCTCTTCTTATCTACATTTTAATCTTCTCCGCATAAATACTAACACAGTCGTATTGCGTTTGCCGCCTCCCTCTCCGCGTCGGACGCTTTGTGTTTTTCGTGTTCGTTTTGTGTTTGTGATTTTGCGACGGCCAAATCGTTGTTCGTTGTTGTTGCTGTATTGATCTACGTAATTGTTTGTGCTACTTGATCATTATTAGTTTCGACTTAAAGTCATCGCTCAAGCATTTTCCTCGAATAATCTCACCTTTCTCATATTTATTTTCCTCATCTTTTCATAATGAGTATTTGTTGTGCTAAACGCTGCCGCTCAGCTGCCACACGGCAAACATTCACCTTCTGCTGTTTGTGTGATAACATGGCACACATTGTTTGCGCCGACTTTGGGCAAATTGGAGGACGCGTAGTCGACCTCATAAAGACTCGCTGCGGTAAAGAACGACATGCGGGTTTTTATGAGTCAGACTCATACTGAATTCGCTGCGCTCAACTCCGGATACAAAATGCTACAGGATAAGTTTCTTGTGTTGGAGTCTCATTTCAAAAATCTAAAAATTTTGACTGAGTCGCCAAAGCGAAAGAAGGTTACCAATTATTTGCCAATCTCTAATCCGGTCGTTTCTCTTCCAGTCCCGGGATCACCTGCACCCCAATCTCGATCACCGTCACTTATAAATTCTGACGCCATGGACCTTTGTTATAATGGTTACATTGCGCCGACTAGGACGGTGGCCTCATCTGCAGTCTCTCCTGCAGTCGCACCTGCCGCCACTCCCGCGCCCGTGTCTGACCAGGACGTCGGTCCGAATGTCATCGAGGAAGCCATCGCAATCGCTTCCGTGGTCCAACTTAAAGCCGCTAACGCTGCCGTCCGGAGGGATGTTGAGGCTCCCCAACTAACACCTCTACGTCCACTGCTCCCGTCTCAACAAATAATTCTGTGACCCCCCTATCTGTTCTTACTGCGGTTGCTCCTTCAAAACCTATTTTCGTCTCTCGACTCATGGCATCGGCTACGGAGGTCATGGTCCGAAACTTTATATTGTCTAAACTCAACATAGATAGTTCTGCGGGTCTCGTAGTTACCAGTGGTGCCAGTGGTGCGGAAATGCATTTTGTTGTTGTCATTTCCAATGCCCCCACTGTAAAGTTCATTTGCTACCGCATATGCACATGCAGCGGAATTCTTTCGTCTCTTAATATCGCAATCTCTCGTACTCGGCTTAACAGCGGCCCGAGCAGCTCTAACGCTCTCGGGCTATCCTACTCTCTCGCTCGCGTCTAAGCTTGCTGCATAGGGCCCGGCAATTTGGCTCGTCAGCCGTTGCATTGTCAGTCTTGAGCTAATCGTCGCAGCTATTAGATTAACATCCTCGCATCAATCGTTCGCCCAATCATCCTCATATTTACATACGCGATAAGTTGTACATATGCAGTACAGCATATGCAGTACGCAGCATATAAGTACATATGCAAATAAATTGTGAATTATATATAACCTCTCGACTTTCATTAACTTCAAAAATTGCAACAGTTATTAAAAACGCTTAATAGCTTAACAATCTCCATGCTAGGGATCTCCGGGGGCTCCAGTTCTGGCTCGACCTTCGGTTGCATGCCCTTAGAGTCGGACTTGTACGAGGTAGTCTTCTTGTAGCCGTAGTCCAGTGCCCTCCGTGACGTGCAGAAGTCTAGCCGACTCCTCGTTCACGACGAGGATGATTTGGCGCCTCTGTCCGTTGCTCTCCTCTACCTTGGCCACCTTCTAATCGTCTGTGGGAAGGTGGGGGTTGCAGACCTGCAGAATCCGGAGAATCTTATCCGGTTCTGCAGGCTTCGCCGAGACCCACGCTCTGACCCTCGGCTTGCTGGGGATGTCCTTCCACTTCACGGCCTCCAGCTTGGCTCCTGGGTAGACCTCCTTGAGCGATGCTACCGGCTGTGTAAGACTGCAATTAGGGTTTTTCCTCTCGCCACCTCGGCAAACGAGCTCAGTGTTTTCGTCCTCTTGGCCGGTTGGAATTGCGTGGTGGTGTCCTCCGCCTCCCTCCGTTGCCGCTTGCTTGGGGCCTTGGCTGCGGCCTTGCCAGCTTTGGATGGCTGGTAGTCGGGCAGGACCGTCTTGGCCCATCGCCGCGATTCGATTCCCTGGGCCCTCCGACGTGGATTGGCCCGATTGCATTTTCGGTCCTCTCCTCGCAGCGCCTGCTGCCTCGAGACGGTGGACCGACTTAGTCTCCTTCGACGTCGTTTTGGGCACTGGTTTCCCAGATGCGTTATTATAGGGATGGTCAGTTCCCTCCAGCAATTTAGGAGGAGTGCCGAGCTCCTTTGCGGTGTTTTTTGTATGTATAGTAAAGTTTGGCATAGTTGGTCCCACGAGTAGGCGTTAGTCGCCCGGGGCATAGCCCGCGTGCCCCGGGAAGCCTTATTAAAACTGGAGGTCGGAAGGTATCCAGAGTCCGCATATAAACGACCGAGCACCCCCTCTGCCATTCATCTCTCGGCATATGACAGTGTCACCTTGGATTGGAGTTATTTCACTGAGAGTTTTCTTCTCATCGCCCGACTATAGTTAGCCAGCATCCTGGCAGACACATGACCGTACCAGGACCTGTTCCAGCCGCCCTCGCGGAGAGAGTATAGTCGCACTTCCGCCGGCGTGTACAGTTACGGTGGGTGCCGGTTGGCTCGTGCCAATTAGTGCTAATTTTTCTCGAATATTAATCTAACAGATATCTTTCCTGCATGCTCGCGTAACAGCCTTCTGCTGGTTTCAGACGGGAAACTTGACGGTGCAGTAATTACATTGCCTCCTGCAAGATGCAAGAGTAATCTTATAGTAGATAATTATTTTTACTGAACTGAAAATATGTTTCGTAGAAATAATATACACTGCAGATAGTTGCACATAGTCACAGAGTATATATGTATTCAACGAAACCCAATTGCCTTTCCTTTCTGTGACGACTGAAAGGAGTTAAACTGGAACATACACCTCGTCGTTGGATAATTGATTCTCGATCCGGCCCCCTACACTCAATCACTTTTCAGTTTAAACGACTGAGGAAGAAAGTGATAAATCAGCTATTTTCTTTAGATTTTCTTTAAATATTGATTCTTTTCTTGCGATATCCATTGCAATCCAACCTAGCTTGCTTCTGCGTAAACGATTGTGCATCAGGATCATCAGATGAGTCCCTGCAGTGCCAATAAAGTGGTTTACAGATCCCAATTACACCAAAAAATAAACTCACTGAACTACAGAGAAATCACTTAAATCGCCATAATCTATTGGGCGATGACACAGGCAGCATTTGTTGTTGGATTCGCTGAAACACCTCGGGCAGAAGACACCTTTGCGTCCTAGTGAGTCGCAATTTATGCGGGTGGAACTGGAGGACAGAATGAAAGTCTGAACAATAGCAGAACAAAATATTGACGAATTACCTACGAGCTTAAGGACTTGGCGCAAATGATGCAGATATCACTACTCATGGCACCAACCAGACAGGCACAACAGCAGCATCTAATGGCGAAAGTTTCAATTAAATATGTGGAAATGTCTGCTCCGCGAATCTCACCGATTCAGATTGCCCCTGAACGAGCTGATGTGCCCTTTTCGATCCTGGTACATTAAGGCAGCGCGGATCTGGCGACGGGCCAACTTGAATACGCTTATTTGCTCAGTCAAGATCTTGTTGTGCAGATACATGGCCCTCTCATGGTCTCGCTCCGGGTAGAAGCAACGCATAATCACATGACGTAGGCGCAGGAAATACGGCTCCGTCAGCAGGACCAGCCAGGCGAATAGACAGAGTCCCAATATCTCAGCATATCTGTAATGGTTCGGTTCTACAGGCTGAGGCAAACATTCACTCGTTTCCAAGACGGTTTTCTGAGTGAGGGGCCGAAACCCCTTGGATATCCCTCGCATTATTTCAACCAAAAACCCTCCACCTTTGATCTTCAGATCTGTATAGGCAGGCACTTCTAGTCCGGACTTCTGATGGCCATAGTACGACATGGTGGCCAGCATCCAGAAGAGGCTATAATCCAAAAAGCAAATGGAAAACAATTGCAGGGAGGTAAAAATCATGAAAAAGGAACTCTGTCGGGTCAAGCAGCTTAAAGAGATCTATCGATATCTATCGTTGCTGATGGTCGCGTCTTTACTTCGCTCCGCCTAATAGTTATTTTTTTCCGTGATTTAAGGAGACGTGATTTATAAAACGTTTATTGTGTTTGTAATTAATCGAGCATTCTGTTTGCTACATGTGCATAACCAGTACTCCTGTTTTCGTGTAGTTATTCCCAAATTTTTAATCCAATTTGTGTTTTCTTTCCTACCCCGTCATTCTTAGTCACCGGCAGCTGCATTGTTGTTGACATATGTATTGTCGATGCACTCTATCTGAGCCGCTCTCTCTTCTTATCTACATTTTAATCTTCTCCGCATAAATACTAACACAGTCGTATTGCGTTTGCCGCCTCCCTCTCCGCGTCGGACGCTTTGTGTTTTTCGTGTTCGTTTTGTGTTTGTGATTTTGCGACGGCCAAATCGTTGTTCGTTGTTGTTGCTGTATTGATCTACGTAATTGTTTGTGCTACTTGATCATTATTAGTTTCGACTTAAAGTCATCGCTCAAGCATTTTCCTCGAATAATCTCACCTTTCTCATATTTATTTTCCTCATCTTTTCATAATGAGTATTTGTTGTGCTAAACGCTGCCGCTCAGCTGCCACACGGCAAACATTCACCTTCTGCTGTTTGTGTGATAACATGGCACACATTGTTTGCGCCGACTTTGGGCAAATTGGAGGACGCGTAGTCGACCTCATAAAGACTCGCTGCGGTAAAGAACGACATGCGGGTTTTTATGAGTCAGACTCATACTGAATTCGCTGCGCTCAACTCCGGATACAAAATGCTACAGGATAAGTTTCTTGTGTTGGAGTCTCATTTCAAAAATCTAAAAATTTTGACTGAGTCGCCAAAGCGAAAGAAGGTTACCAATTATTTGCCAATCTCTAATCCGGTCGTTTCTCTTCCAGTCCCGGGATCACCTGCACCCCAATCTCGATCACCGTCACTTATAAATTCTGACGCCATGGACCTTTGTTATAATGGTTACATTGCGCCGACTAGGACGGTGGCCTCATCTGCAGTCTCTCCTGCAGTCGCACCTGCCGCCACTCCCGCGCCCGTGTCTGACCAGGACGTCGGTCCGAATGTCATCGAGGAAGCCATCGCAATCGCTTCCGTGGTCCAACTTAAAGCCGCTAACGCTGCCGTCCGGAGGGATGTTGAGGCTCCCCAACTAACACCTCTACGTCCACTGCTCCCGTCTCAACAAATAATTCTGTGACCCCCCTATCTGTTCTTACTGCGGTTGCTCCTTCAAAACCTATTTTCGTCTCTCGACTCATGGCATCGGCTACGGAGGTCATGGTCCGAAACTTTATATTGTCTAAACTCAACATAGATAGTTCTGCGGGTCTCGTAGTTACCAGTGGTGCCAGTGGTGCGGAAATGCATTTTGTTGTTGTCATTTCCAATGCCCCCACTGTAAAGTTCATTTGCTACCGCATATGCACATGCAGCGGAATTCTTTCGTCTCTTAATATCGCAATCTCTCGTACTCGGCTTAACAGCGGCCCGAGCAGCTCTAACGCTCTCGGGCTATCCTACTCTCTCGCTCGCGTCTAAGCTTGCTGCATAGGGCCCGGCAATTTGGCCCGTCAGCCCTTGCATTGTCAGTCTTGAGCTAATCGTCGCAGCTATTAGATTAACATCCTCGCATCAATCGTTCGCCCAATCATCCCCATATTTACATACGCGATAAGTTGTACATATGCAGTACAGCATATGCAGTACGCAGCATATAAGTACATATGCAAATAAATTGTGAATTATATATAACCTCTCGACTTTCCTTAACTTCAAAAATTGCAACAGTTATTAAAAACGCTTAATAGCTTAACAATCTCCATGCTAGGGATCTCCGGGGGCTCCAGTTCTGGCTCGACCTTCGGTTGCATGCCCTTAGAGTCGGACTTGTACGAGGTAGTCTTCTTGTAGCCGTAGTCCAATCTAACAGCTATCTTTCCTGCATGCTCGCGTAACAGCCTTCTGCTGGTTTCAGACGGGAAACTTGACGGTGCAGTAAGTACATTGCCTCCTGCAAGATGCAAGAGTAATCTTATAGTAGATAATTATTTTTACTGAACTGAAAATATGTTTCGTAGAAATAATATACACTGCAGATAGTTGCACATAGTCACAGAGTATATATGTATTCAACGAAACCCAATTGCCTTTCCTTTCTGTGACGACTGAAAGGAGTTAAACTGGAACATACACCTCGTCGTTGGATACTTGATTCTCGATCCGGCCCCCTACACTCCAATCACTTTTCAGTTTAAACGACTGAGGAAGAAAGTGATAAATCAGCTATTTTCTTTTATTTTAAAATCATCCAACATATGTAAACAATATTAAATATTGATTCTTTTCTTGCGATATCCATTGCAATCCAACCTAGCTTGCTTCTGCGTAAACGATTGTGCATCAGGATCATCAGATGAGTCCCTGCAGTGCCAATAAAGTGGTTTACAGATCCCAATTACACCAAAAAATAAACTCACTGAACTACAGAGAAATCACTTAAATCGCCATAATCTATTGGGCGATGACACAGGCAGCATTTGTTGTTGGATTCGCTGAAACACCTCGGGCAGAAGACACCTTTGCGTCCTAGTGAGTCGCAATTTATGCGGGTGGAACTGGAGGACAGAATGAAAGTCTGAACAATAGCAGAACAAAATATTGACGAATTACCTACGAGCTTAAGGACTTGGCGCAAATGATGCAGATATCACTACTCATGGCACCAACCAGACAGGCACAACAGCAGCATCTAATGGCGAAAGTTTCAATTAAATATGTGGAAATGTCTGCTCCGCGAATCTCACCGATTCAGATTGCCCCTGAACGAGCTGATGTGCCCTTTTCGATCCTGGTACATTAAGGCAGCGCGGATCTGGCGACGGGCCAACTTGAATACGCTTATTCGCTCAGTCAAGATCTTGTTGTGCAGATACATGGCCCTCTCATGGTCTCGCTCCGGGTAGAAGCAACGCATAATCACATGACGTAGGCGCAGGAAATACGGCTCCGTCAGCAGGACCAGCCAGGCGAATAGACAGAGTCCCAATATCTCAGCATATCTGTAATGGTTCGGTTCTACAGGCTGAGGCAAACATTCACTCGTTTCCAAGACGGTTTTCTGAGTGAGGGGCCGAAACCCCTTGGATATCCCTCGCATTATTTCAACCAAAAACCCTCCTCCTTTGATCTTCAGATCTATATAGGCAGGCACTTCTAGTCCGGACTTCTGATGGCCATAGTAACGCAACAAGGTTCCAATCAAGTGCTACGTCTGCGTCTTCATTTGTTTCGCTACCAAGGCTGTTCATCTGGAGCTTATAAAAAACTTATCCACAGTGTGATGGACCTATTTCAGGCTGAGGTAAGCTCAGTCACGTCCAGGGGTCAATCCACAAGAAATTTGTAGAAATGGATGGAACTTCAAGGGAGACGTCGTGGGTGGCTTATCGTAGAGTAGATGGATCGGGGCTTGGGCGGGCGTTGCTAGCGTTGTGTATCGAATGGTGTATGTGGACGTGGAGTGGTGTGGAGTCGGTGCCTCGGCTACGTTGAAATGACTTATGCGGTGGACATTATTGGGATAATCGGATAAATACTTTTAGCACTTTCTTAAACTCTTAGATGAATACTACGTCGATGTTCTGGGCCGGGTTTTGCGTAAGTTTTGGTACAACGACCGTACTGTGAGCCGGATTTCTGCGTAAGCTCCCTTTTGGTTTCGTTTGGCGTCTATTTATACGCCAATGGGCGCTTCCGCGTAGGGCTCGCTCTTGCCGATTCGGCGATCGTGGTTTGACCTGGTTCTGTCTCTTCGCGTTTTTGGCGAGCTGGCGGGTTTGCCGTTGGGTGCTTGTCGTAGGCTTCCGCGGTGTCATCTTTTTGTAGTCGATGAACCAATGGTCGATGGTCTGGAGTGGGGGAAGTCCGCGTGACCTGGTGTGTTCGGTCAGCGTTATGAAGACGGCGCGTGTCAATCGGTGGCTATGTGTGGAGGGGGGTGTTCGTGTAGTAAATAATGCATGCGTTCAATTTACGTTGGGCGAGGTGCTGCAATTTAGTAGCAGGTTGTATGTTTTATTGGGCGTTGGGAGAGGCGTTGTAGCGAACCCTTTTGGGTTCGTTACAACAGTTGCTTTTCTACATGGACTAAAGCGCTTCATATGTACCAGACGAAAGCCTCGGCAAATTTGGTCAGACAACGCAACCAATTTTGTCGGCGCTAAGAATGAGCTGATGGAATTAAAGCGCCAGAAGGCGCTGCTGGATTTTTGCTTGGTCGAGGCTATAGACTGGCATTTCATTCCTCCGCGCTCCCCTCATTTTGGTGGTCTATGGGAGGCTGCAGTGAAGACGGCCAAGTACCACTTCTACCGTGCGATAGGCAACTCGGTTCTTGGATTTGACGAGCTGCGGACGCTGTTGTGCCACATCACGGCAGTGATTAATTCAAGACGTTTAGTTTCAATTTCAGAGAGCCCTGCCGATCTAGATATTCTAACTACAGCGCATTTCTTGAATGGTGGCCCTCCTGCTTCGTTCGCTGAGCCTGACGTCACGCAGCTAAACTTCGATCGCCTGGACGGCTGGCAGCGCGTTTCGTTCCTGCAGCAGCTCTTTTGGTCCCGGTGGAAGGCGGAGTACATAACGTCACTGCAGCAGCGCTCAAAGTGGCGCACTGCGAAGCCTAGTTTAGCTGTCGCAGATTTCGTTCTTGTCAAGGATGAGAATCTTCCTCCCATGAAGTGGCCACTGGCGAGAGTGGTCGAGCTTTTGCCTGGACGAGATGGCGTTTCCCGAGTTGCTGTGCTGAAGACGTCATCTGGAATCACCAAGCGCGCCGTCAACAAGCTGTGCCTGCTGCCCCTTAAAGATGCAGTTGAAAGTCAGGCTTCCAACGGGGGGAGTATATCGGGTCAAGCAGCTTCAATATTTTAAATTATTGCCAGTGCGGCCCAAAGGAAATGCATTTTGGTGTTGTCGTTTCCAATGCCCCCACTACAAAGATCATTTGCTACCGCATATGCGCATGCAGCGAAATTCTTTCGTCTCCTTATGTCGCAATCTCTCGGACTCGGCTTAACAGCATCCCCGAGCAGCTCTAACGCTCTCGGGCTATCATACGCTCTCGCTCGCGTCTAAGCTTGCTGCATAGGGCCCGGAAGATTGGCCCGTCAACCCTTGCATGGGCAGTCTTGAGCTAATCGTCGCAGCTATTAGATTATTTATTTATTTGTATATATATATTCCTAACGCGACAGTATTTCTACTTTATGTTAATGCGCTAGTCACATGGAGTTCACATAGTTGTGTGCTTTAAGCAGAATGATTTTCTTATTCTAACATTTTTAGTATGACTTATATTTTTATTATTATGACTAATATTTGTATTATTAATACTAATACTAATTCTAATTTTTTTTATTTTTATTTTATTTTTTTTTATGGGTTTATCAAGTGTTTCTCTAATTTATCCCTAAATTGCGTTGCTCTACTAATATTTTTAATATTGAAAGGTAACTCATTCCATAACCGAATAGCATTTGTTAAAAATTGTTTTCCTGAATTGGCAAGTTGTACCTTATGGTTACCAGATTCAACGTTCTATTTGATGAAGCAAAGGTTAATTTATCATATAAGTAGCTCGGCTGTCTGGTATAGATTATTCGATGTAGAAAAATAATTGTTCTGTACCCTATCCATGTCATTAAATCCATTTTGAATATTTGTCTTGCTAAGATTGAGATATGATCGGTTCGTCTCTTATTATATATGTAGCGGGCAATGTTGTTAAATGTTAATTTTAGTTTTTTTTGAGATTCAGCGTCACAATTTCCAAATATTTCAATACCATAGAATAAGGTGGGTGTCAAATATGTCTTAGCTATCATTAGTTTGAGTATATCTGGTAGGTATTTTTGTGTTGGTGCGAGTTTTCTTAGTAGACTATATGTTCTACCAGTAGCTTTCACTACTTGGCTACTCCAAGAAAGCGTATTGTTAAATGTTAATCCTAAGTTTTCCACATGATCTACGTAATTAATTTGTTTTCCTTCGATTTCAAGTTTTGGATAGGCCATCGTATTTAGTTGCTTCTTGTATATAATTACACATTTACATTTATCTGGATTAAGTGCCAGACCATTACGCTTCGCCCAGCTACTCACATTGAGCAAATCACTGTTACACACACTTATACACTCATCAATTTTACTCAATGGACGACTAACATACATTTGGACGTCATCCGCATACATATGACTTTTACAATTTAACAGGACGTCTGGCAGGTCATTCACATATAATGAGAACAAAAGCGGGCCAAGAACTGAACATTGAGGCACACCACGTGCAGTGCTCATCATTGAAGAAATTCTACTTCCACTTACCACAACCTGTCTTCTATCCGTTAAATACGATTTTAATAGCTTTATAGCTACTTTACTACAGTTGAAAAAGTTAACTAATTTACTTAATAAGATTTCGTGGTTAACCGTGTCAAATGCTTTACTGAAGTCAAGTAGTACTAATAGCGTCACATTTCCTTCATCTTGTTTTAATCTAATGTCTTCCGTTGTATTTACTATTGCCGTAGTACAGCTTCTTTGTCATCTGTAACCTGACTGTTTGTCACTTAGTAGTGCATTGTTATCTAGGAAAGTTCGAATTTGTTGTGACATTAATTGTTCAAGAACTTTTGACAAAAACGATAGAATTGATATAGGTCTATATTCATTTTTTCCTTTAGGGACCGGGGTTATTTTCGCAAGCTTCCATGTACTTGGAAATATTGATTTTGTTAAGACAGTGTTGTAAATATAAGTCACATGTGGTAATATTTTCGGAAGTAAGATTTTTAGAAATTTTGGATGTATTTCATCCAGTCCGATTGCATTTGACTTAATTTTAAGCACAGATTCAAGGACATCACACTGACTGGCACACATGAAGCTAAAGTTATTATCACAGGAACTATTCGGTATATTGTCAAGATAATGATTATATGCTACTTCAGGTACCCCGTTTATCACAAATTTTCTATTTAATTCATCTATGTCTACATCAATTTTGGTGTTATTTGTCCTCTTCCCTATTCCCAAGTCTTTAAGCTCCCTCCATGTCCTTCTTGTTAATATTGCACTTTGAAACCTTACAGAATAAAAAGACTTTTTAGCTGTCAGTATTAAAAGGTTGGTTTTTTTTCCTTAAAGTTTTAAATTCTTGATACTGAACAGACGTTCTGTAGCGTTTCCATTTGTTATATGCTTTGTCCCTTAATGATATATTGTGTGCAATATACTTCTATAAAAAGGTATTCTATTTCACTTTCTGGAGCTTGCTTGCATATTAATTTGGATTTGAGTTTCTTGTTTATGTATACAGCAACACCCCCACCATTTCCTTCCCGATCAGATCGGTATAGATCAAATCCGGTACACAAAATAACATTATCACATAGATGCATGAACCACGTTTCCGAAACACAAACTACATCAACATTCGATTGTTCAAACATATATCGGAACTCATCAATCTTACCATACAGACTCTGATCATTTATATGACAAATATTTAAGCCATCTTTTGTTTAGCCAGCGTACAAATCAATATCCTACTATTCGTTGGAAGTCTATTCATATTATGGACCATTTAAAAGTTACTAAATAGCATATTAGCAGCACACGCAATATACACAAATCAATTATAACTATATAAAAACATAAAACCTTAAACTTCAACATTATATTACTATGGCTAAGGGAAGTTTTACTAACGAAAAAGGTTATTCTGGTCTGTCTCAACTGGCCTGTTAACTGCACCTGGATCAACTGCTGCAAGCTCATCCTCGGAAGTATCCCGCAATGTTTGCAGGTCATGCATGTTATCCACTCTAAAAATCTCTCCAGCTGGATGCTTCTTAACATGCACGATCGCCCGACGAGTGAAAACAGCCGATAGTACTTTTCCTTTTTTCATTTTCATCGCCTCTTTGAAAACAGCCAGATTCTCTTTAGACAGCTGCTCATTAATATAAAACGCAGCCTGCGAGTCGAATTCCATTAGGTCCAGAGATAGCAGTTTTTTCGATTCCCTGCGATAGTTGCCAACAGCTCGCATCAACGCCGCCTTCACTCTCACACTCTCTAGTCGCAGGATTATCACTGGATCAACAGCTGTTCCGTGAGTTCTCTGTCGGATCCTAAAGATGTCTTTCACCCTTGGGAGGGGTGTTAG